TGCTCCTCGCACCAAGCCAGTGTTGGCGCGTCGCCAGCCCGGCCCGGCCTGTTTCCCTGCTCCTCGCACCAAGCCAGTGGTGCGTTCGCGCAGCCCGGCCCGGCTGTTCCTGCCCCTCGCACCAAGCCAGTGGTGCGCGTCGCCAGTTCTGGCCCGGCCTGTTCCTGCTCCTCGCACCAATTCAGTGGTGGGCGTCGCCAGTTCCGGCCCGGTCTGTTCCTGCTCCCGCACCAAGCCAGTGGTGCGCGTCGCCAGTTCCGGCCCGGCCCGTTCCTGCTCCTCGCACCAAGCCAGTGGTGCGCGTCGCCAGTCCGGCTGGCCCGTTCCTGCTCCTCGCACCAGCCAGTGGTGCGCGTCGCCAGGTCCGGCCCCGCCCGTTCCTGCTCCTCGCACCAAGCCAGTGGTGCGTATTCCTAGTCCGGTCCGGCCTGTGCCTGCTCCTCGCACCAGACCAGTGGTGCGTTTGTCCAGTCCGGCACAGCTGCTCCACTCCGGAGCCAGAGCAGTCCGCTCCACCCTCCCGGCCCCTACCCTGTTATGTTTATGTTGTGCGGTCGGAGTCCGCACCTTTGGGGGGGGGGGGTACTGTCACGCCCTGACTCAGGGGACGCTTATATGTTGAGTCAGGGTGTGTATATTCCTTGTTGTGCTTGTTCTATGTATGAGGATCTAGTATGTCTAGTTCTATGTTGGCCGGTGTGGTTCCCAATCAGAAGCAGCTGTCGCTCGTTGTCTCTGTTTGGGGACCATACTTAAGCAGCCTATTGGCACTGTCTAGTTGTGGGATCTTGTTCTGGGTAAGGTTCGTTGTTTGTACAACCTTAGGACTTCACGTTTCGTTTGTTTGTTGTTTTGTCGTGTGTTTATTCAGTGTAAATAAACATGTACGTATATCACGCTGCGCCTTGGTCTGACCCGTCATTCAACGAACGTGACAAGGTGTGCCTTCTTAAAAGTTAATTTGTGGAATTTCTTTCCTTAATGCGTTTGAGCCAATCAGTTGTGTTGTGTTGTGACAAGGTAGGGGGGTATACAGAAGATGTATATTGACCAACCAGTTTTGATGTCTTCATTATTATTCTACAATGTAGAAAATAGTAAAAGTAAAGAAAAACCCTTGAATGAGTAGGTGTTCTAAAACTTTTGACTGGTAGTGTATATCAAAATGTTTGAGTGATTTAGCCATATAAAACTATAACTGTACTAGAACCCTGGCTTTATGAAGATGAACAGGTAATTCATATTGTATGTACACTCCTTTCCGTATTTATTTGGAGTCGTTCCATGTCATTTCAGCAAGCCATGACACCGACCCTCTCAGATTGTTCTGAAATCGTTTATGTAGTTAGAAACAGATGAGCATTCCTGCAACATTTTATAGAAATGTAATTGACTGTAATTGACCCAAATTGGCCCTTTAAAGTTTAGGATTCACATAATATTAAAGAAATATAGTACCCAACATCTGATTTGGATCACACTTCTTCCTACCATTGAGTAAGACATGAGGAATCCAATAAAATAGTCAAAAGCCACCCACGGACCCCCCAAACCCCACTCCAATTCCACCCCAACAACCAGTATACAGTATCAGTTCTCTACGTCTGAGACAAGTAGTATGAAGCTACGGCAGATTCACAGGGAATATATTACATAGGATAAAGGAATATTGCTTCTTCATTCTATGTAATGTATTTCCTGTGAATCTAGTGATTGGGACCAAACTATACAAACCATTCTTCGGAAAGCAATTCAACTGAAACATAAAATGTGAAAAGGTGGTAAGAACTTGGGGATTAACCGACTCCCATTTGGTATTTTAGGTTAATTGAAGGAAGAAAAAGGGGTTTGGGCCCAAGGAAAACAATTCCATTAAGCGGGTTTTTTAATTTTGGTTTTACTTATGAAGCATGAAATGCGTCGGGTACCCCCTTGATGTTTTCAGGAAAACCGGGGGCCAGGGCACCCTTGTTTCCCAAAGGCGGGAGACGAAAACCCCAAAGGGTTGACCCTGTACGAGTCATGGATAAATTTCCCCGGGGAGGCACTTCTTCAGGGTACTTTGGGGGGAAACCCTCATATATTTTTCCCTGCAAATGTTGTGTCAGAAGGGGGAAAAAATTATTGGTTTTCCCTACAATTATTGAAGGCCCTGTAAGGAATAAACCATGATTGGGTATAAAAGGAGGGCCAAATGCCCGGGGGCACCATGGGAGACAGTAAAAAAATTTTCCAGCACTTTGGGGGGCCTGTAAGGGGGAAAATCCGAGAGGGAAATCCCAGCCAAGGTGAAAACCCCAAAGGGTTCCGGAAAGGAGAAAGCCCCAGGGACCATGAGCAAGGGAAAATTAGTTTACAGGGGAATCTCCGGGGCCGGGCTCCGTAAGACCGTCTAACCTGGTTGTGATTAAAATATTTGGAAGTACAGAATTTCAGAAAGCAGCTAAAAGTGGAAAAAGAAAAAAAAAGGTTTAATGTCTGTTTTTAATCAGTGGGGAGTGTTGGTTTTGAAAAGGACAAATCCTGCTTTTGAAGGGCGGAAACAAAAAGCGTTTAGGATGGTTGACACAAGAAGGAAAAGGTACCAATTGGGCTTGAAGAGGGGTTCAGCAGAAAGGTTTTTCCCTTTAGTCATTAAGCGAGTTTATCGAGAGCGAGGGAGAAGAGTCAAATGGGAATGGTCCCGCATTCTAACAAAAAACGGGCGGAAGTCGTCAACCTCTTTCAAAGTGTTGAGAAGTCTACCCAAAAAAAGGGAACCGGGGGTTTAATGTTGGAAAACTCCTTGGGTTAGAGCCCCCCCCGGAATTAGAGTTGTAAAGTTGCAGCAAACATGAAGAAATGTAAAGGGGGGGATTGGGTGTAAAGGGGAATTTGTTTTCCTTCATTTTGTGTTCCAAATTGTTTGTACTTCGCAATGAATCACAAGCCACATTTTGGGGAAACAGCCAGGTAGACGGGTCAGGATCAGAAAATTTTACAGGGTTAGGGCAACAAGTTGAAAAAATGACCCAAAAGGAAATTATAGGGTGGGGGGTATTTCAAGAAAAAGGGAAAATTTGGGGTTAATCTTGAGGGCAGATAGTAGTTTAGAAGGGGGAAAAAAGGGATGGCGGGATGGGGGGAGAAACGGAGATGGGAAACAATTTTAGTTAAATACAACTAATCTGCAGGGGTAGGGCGACGTAGGGAAAAAAGTAAAATGAAGATTTAAGGAGGGGCAAAATTATATTCACCTGTATAGGTAGTAAGTTCATTGCCGGGCTTTCTCAGAGCAGTTAATTGAACCCCCTTGGCGTCTCAGGGGAAGATGCATAGCCCGAACCCAAACCCTGGCGGTGAAAACGCCATGCTCTACCAACTGAGCTACAGCTTGTTTGATAAAATCAATTTTTATATTCAAATGTAGGAACCGGGTTCTACAGTTTGAACCCTTGCGGTCTCTGGCTCCACACCCACCCCGCCCGGCCATCTAGATGTGTGAAAGTTAGTGCATAAGCTAATGATCCATCATGTATGACATTCCCGGGAGTGTGTAAACATACATTTTGTATTACCATATCATGTTTGTATGTTCTCTATAGTTATGTACTTGAAAATGTATCAATTGACCAATTCGGCACATTTGGACAGACTTTATACAAAATAGTCCAGTATTGTAACGCTTCACTGGATCAATCTGAAACTTTGCACACACACTGCTGCCATCTAGTGGCCAACATTTAAATTGCACCTAAACTGCAATATTATATGTTGGCCTTTCTCTTTCATTTCAAAAAGAAAAAAATGAAAACTTGTTTTATTTTTTATGATCTTTTACCAGACCTAATGTGTTATTATCTCAAGAAAGGGTCTGATCCTTAAGAGGTTAATGGCTGTGATAGGAGAAAACTGAGGATGGCTCAAAAACATTGTAGTTACTCCACAAAACTAACCTAGAAGAGGAAGGAAGCCTGTACATAATAAAAGCACTAAAGTAATACTGCTAAAAATTTGTATAATGTGTTATGTTTGGGGCAAATCCAATACAACACATTACAGAGTACCACTCTCCATATTTTCAAACATAGTAGTGGCTACATCATGTTATGGGTATGCTTTTAATCGTTAAGGACTGGGGAGTTTTTCAGGATAAAAACGATACAGAATGGAGCTAAGCACAGGCAAATCCTAGAGGAAGACCTGGTTCAGTCTGCTTTCCACCAGACACTGGGAGATGAATTCCTGCTTCAGCAGGACAATAACCTAAAACACAAGGCTAATCTACACTGGAGTTGCTAACCAAGAAGACAGTGAATGTTCCTGAGTGGCCAAGTTACAGTTTAGCCTTAAATCTACTTTACAATCTATGGCAAGACCTGAAAATGGTTGTCTAGCAATGATCAACAACCAATTTGACAGAGCTTGAAGAATCTTGAAAATAATAATAGGCAAATGTTGCACAATCCAGGTGTGGAAAGCTCTAAGAGACGTACCCAGAAAGACTCACATCTGTAATCGCTGCCAAAGGTGCTTCTACAAAGTATTGGCTACTTATGTAAATGAGATATTTCTTTATTTCATTTTCAATAAATTTGCACACAAAAAAACACAACATGTTTTCCCTTTGTCAGTATGTGGTATTGTGTGTAATTGTGTGAGAAAAAAAAGCTCTTTAATCAATTTTGAATTCAGGCTGTAACACAACAAAATATGGAATAAGTTAAGGGGTATGAATACTTTCTGAAGGCACTGTATGTATGAAAATACCCTCAAATAAAAGGTGACAATCTGTACTGTCACCTCATATAAAACATTTAATCTCAAATCCAAAATGCTGGAGTATCGAGACAAATAAAACTTTTTTAGCTTCACTGTCCAAATTAATACAAAGGGGAGTTTATGTGATATTATAATAGAGGATATCAACATGATTACATTAACTCATTCAGTAGTGCTGAAATTGACAGCAGAAATCATTACTGATATTATTGACTTACTTATTTACATTTGTGTTTCAGATTTGGCAAAAGAGTTTCGAGTTGGAGGCTATCCCGCTATAAAGTTGTGAGTTGTGTACCTTTTAGCTGTATTTTCATTGTTGGTACATGTGGATGTGGAACTGAGATGTGCCCTACTGAATACACAACCCATCTCTTGTTATTCTAACTTACCATTCTCTGTTGGATAGGTTGAAGGATGACTTGAAATACAACTACAGAGGTCCTAGAACCAAGGCTGGCATCATAGAGTTTGCAGACAGAGTATCTGGGTAAGACTGAGGATGGCAGTTCAATTGTTGCTCATTGTCTGTAGAAATCTGTTATTGTACTTCTAAAGGCCCACTTTGTGATATTTGGTTATATTTGGTTACATTTCTCAAGCTCCATCCCTCAACTTTATGGCAAACCCAGTGGCGGGCTGCTTTATTGATTTTCAAATTAAGGAGTGGGGCTTTAACAAGAATATGCATGAACAGTAAGGGCCAGATTTACTAAGCATGTCCAAAGTTTGCCCCTATTATTTAGAGGATGAAATAAATATTAGAATAACAAAGGTAGGTTCACCATGAAATTGTCTTTGAGCCCAAAGGCCTTCAGATGGCGATATTGAGTTGTTTAATCTTACCGTCCAAACACATTGTATGCAGCCAGTAAAACATTAGTATCCCTCGTGGACCTGTTTGTTGCTAAAATATTCTCCATTCAGGCTACATAGGCTTCGATATCCTCCTTAACTTTATTTATTGATGAGAAGGCGGAAAAAAACTGGGAAAATATGCGTACTTTCTTTATTAAACACAATTTTCCACCACCATCCTAGAGTGGCTAAATGCTCATCCCGGATGTTGTGTATCGCGTTCAGCCAATCAGGTTAAAACTATCAGACCAGGGGTTGCATTTCTTTTACGGCTGCTGCGTTAGCAGCATCGCATTAGTGGAAACCAAGACTGTTCTAAGGGCAGACCTGGTTGTAGCTAGATATGTTCGACTCACGTCGGGGACAATTTTAGCATTTTACCATTCTAATCCTAACCCTTTTCCTAATCTTAACCTAATTCTCCTAATCTACCACGTTAATTCTTCCTAACCTGCTGCGTAAATTCTCCTAACCTGCTACGAAAAGTAACTTCTGCTAGTCAAAACTGACAGACCTACCCTGAGAACAGTGTTGGTTTCCACTAATGTGATACAGCGCTGCGTTAGGTTAAGGGATGAAAAAACAGACTGCTGCAACCTGATTGGCTGAACGTGATACACAACATCCAGGATTAGCATTTAGCCACTGCTTCTAAGTATCACATGCCCTTTATGCAAGTATTATTAGATGCCGTGCTGGCAGTGTAGATGCAAAACTCTGCATGGTGAATACAACAGAACCGATTAACTTGACGGGTGACTTCAAATAACTGAAAGCCACGCCCCAAATAAGCCACGCCTCCTCTTCTAATAGGCTGCCGCCGCTACACTGCCCTCACCGCTATTAAAAAAGCGAATGTGCATGAGATATTGAAAGCAATTTAGAAACTTTCTTTCAATAAAAAAAAAAACATTGATCTTTCAAATTCACTGATTTATTTTAGATACATTGAATAGAATAGGTTAAACGAACCAAAACGTATACCAATTAGTAAAAGCACTTCAGATGAACAATAGCACCGTCCCACTTTTTACAGTGTGGTCTTATCCTTGATCATTTGTAAATCTGGCCAAAAGTGTGTAAACATGATTTCAGTATTAGTTGACAGATTATGAGCTTTTAAAAATAAGATTTTCATTGGACAGTTACTTTAAGATGTACTCTCTCCATCTCTGCCCATCTGGCTCTCACTCCCTCCATCAGTCCCATATACGCTCTCTCCATCTCTCTCTCCCATCCCTCCTTTGTTTTAGACCTGTGGTGAGAGCACTGCCAAGTCAGCAGTTATTTCAGAATGTAATGAGTAGATATGACGTTCTCTTTGTCTACGTTGGTGGGCCGTCCGACTTGAAGGTATGAGTACACCCGCGCATTAAACACGCAAGCACACACACACAGGCACACGCACGAACGCACGCACACGCACATGGGACACAAAAAACAAATTATTATTGTGGTATCTGTGCCATAGCCTGTGTCTGAGGTTTCCCCCTTTTCTCTTTTGTCCCCCAAGGAGAAGTACATATCCGTGGCCAAGGAACTGATTGTGCATACTTACTTCTTCTCTGCTGCAAGGAACGTTTTACCCAAGGTACGGTTTAGAAAATAGGTATATATATCTATAAAAAGAATGTGGAGGGTATTTTGATGTTTTATTGACAGGTATAGGAGGAGACGGGGAGATAAATCAGAAGAATACAGCGCAGAAAGTGAGAGATGGAACGGGGGATTGAACTTCTGCCTCCAGAGGCCTTGACATTGAGCTCCAATCATATTTTGTGACTGAGGTATTGTTTCTCTTTTCTGGTCATTCTCAGGCAGTTACTCTCCAGGAATACCCGGCTGTGGCAGTGTTCAAGGATGGCACTTACTTCCTTTATAATGGTAAGAGACCAGTGTTGCATTCATAGCCGCGGAAAGTTTTCAGTGTATTCCGGCTCAAATTAATAGGGCTGTATGTCTCTATGTAAAAGAACATCAAAAATGGAATCATCAGAAGCAGCCATTGTAATTATTCAGCAATCTCGGATAGAGTGCACAGTAACATAGTTCCTGTGAACCTGTATAAACTAGTACAGCCCCTGTTTTGAAAAGCTTGCCTTTGAGGGTGGGAGCAAAATTGGACAAGGAAGTATGGCTCCCGTCAGGCTGTAGTCTTTACAAAGCCAGGGAAAATGAGTCAACCTAGATATCCTGCCATGTCGTGGCAAATAGGAACATCATTGAGAAAAGTCCAATGGTTCTATTGAACAAGGACAACCATATCTACTCGCTGCTAGCGTGATCGTGCAATCGGCGAAACACAAAGGCCACAATGTCAGAACGCTGAGTGTGGATGTGGTGCAGGGAATCAAGCGCAGGAACAAGGGTGTTCGTCAACAGACTTTAGTAATCCAAAATAGTAACTCCAAACAGGTGAATAGCCAACCCAACCGGGAGGCATGAACAAATTACGCACACACACAACAGTGCGTAAGAACAAGAAAAGGCGCACGCAGTGCGGACTCTCGACACAAACAACACGAGAGAGAAAACCCATCAACAGCAACAGCTGACATAACAATCACACATAACACCTGACCCAACACACGATAACTAAATAGGAAACAAAATCAAACACTAACAAGGGACAGGTGTACAAACAGACAAAACCAAACAAACATGAAACATCGAACGGTGGTAGCTAGTACTCCGGGGACGACGACCGCCGAAGCCTGCCCGAACAAGGAGGAGGAGCAGCCTCGGCCGAAACCGTGACACACAATAATTGCTACAAAACATGACTCCATTCATTTTAATATCAGACAGCAGGCTCAATCAACCAATGACGTTTATTGGATGAACTCTATCGGTGCGAAAATGAAAAAATACCACTATGGTGCATAATTATGTCTGAAACACATTTCATCACATAATTATGTGGGGAGACTGGAAAAACACCCCAAATAGTGTCTAGCAGTGAAGTTTCCCTTTATGTGTTCTCTTGTGTGCCATGTGCAATAGCTTGTGGATAGTATGGTGTTGGCTAATGAAATTAGTCAACTGTGCTTTTTCTCTTATTGAATGCAGTTGTTGTGTTGTGTTCTGTTCTGTTCTGTTTGTTGTGCAATTATTTCCAAGGATTGTGTGCTTTGGTGGGAGGTTCTGGTGATAAGTGAGTCCACTTTGCTGGATTTAGTTAGGTGGCACTGGCCCGATTCTGCATGGAGAGCTCTCAGCTCTGTTTTGTAAGCAGTGCACTCATGATTTATGGGGTTTGGAGTCAGACACGCTCTGCTGTACCATAGACGGTACAGTATACCGCCATTTGCACAAGGGTCCAAAAGCTGAGAGAGTTGAAATTATCGGGTGTAAGGGCTAATTAGACCATCAGATAGCCACTTCGACTGAGCCAGCAAGGCTGCATGCTTCAGAGCAAGTGCAATTCCGACATGCAATGCGAAATGTTTGGAATTTACACGATTTCATACAAAAGAATGGAGAGGCATGCCTAATTATATGCCAATAGCATTTGTTTGTCTTATTTTGAGACTTGACACGTTACAGATGAAATACCTCCCCAATTAAATGTTTCACTGTTACTGAGGTTTATATCTTGTAAAACAACAGGGGGGATTTGTTAATTTAAATTTCATGCTAGTTTTTTTACACGTAAGCTTAGTAGCCCACTAGCAAGCAACACAAAGCGCGGCCCCGCCGGTCCTGGATTGAGGTGAGCGCTTTTCTACGTGATGGCTCGCATAGCTGTCCATGGTCCTGAAACCGTTCATTTTTGTGCTCAGTTTTATTAGGCACGATCTTGTGTTTACTAAGGGTGTTTTCACACTTGGTCTCTTTCAGAATTGTTTTGTGAACTCAGTGCGGTTCGCTTAATTTGTTGTGCAGTCTGAACACTCCAAAGGAACTCAGACCCCTCAAATGAGCCCCCGAAGCGAACCGAACTGAAACCATCTCAAGAGGTGGTCTGAGTTTGGTTCGCTTGAATTTCGCGGTCCGGTGTGCTGTTTTTGGATATTGATTAGTGATTGTCAAGGATGCACAGAAATTGTAAAATATGTGTGGAGTTTTGGACTGACACGATGTTCAGATCATTTGTTTGCAATAGGCTAAGAGCGCTTTGTAAGCTGTTTATTCGATTGCGGGGTTTGAATAATGTGAGAAGACAACTTATTTTGTGAGAATCACAACATAGGTTACAAAACCAAGGTCGTTGCTTTCCGGGATCCTTGGGACGTCCCAACCCTGACGTTACCCCATTGACGTTGACATTTAAAATGGTTAAGGTAAGGGTTAAGGTAAGGGTTAAGGTTAGGGTTAAGGTTAGGATTTAGGGTAGGGATGTCGCAAGGATTCTGGATAGCTCTAACCACAAAATCAATGCTAGCTCTTAAAGGGGCAGTAGCCTGCTTTGGGTGTAGAATGTTCAATTACAGCATTATTTAATCTGCAGTATTCTTATGCTATTTATTCTGTTACCAATAATATTTACATGTTAATATCTTCTGATTATAATTATAATGTCTCATCTTTTAACTAAATGCAATCTATTAGCTTCCAAAATTTAAGTCGGTATATCTAGCTGGCCGATAACATGAACTGATGGAATGGCTTATCTGGCACTTTGTAAAAACCCGGAGTGCATTGAGTGAATGTTGGAAAAAGATCTTGGTTCCTTTCTAAACATAGCAATGTGAATGCAAAAAGGACTCGAACCACAAAACAGGGGAAGTGAACTGGCAAAAGAGTTGAGTCCTCATTCAAAGGCAAGGGCAGTGTGAATACAAAGAGTTCTATTGTTTTTTACCCCAAAGTTCACTTTAAAGAGGACTGAGATCGGTTATTTTAAAGAGGACTATATGTGAAAACAACCTAATTTATTTACAACACCCCTCATTTTCTCTCTATCTGACACACACCCCTTGTAATTATGCTGTACAAAGAAATGTGAGCGCTGTTTACAACAGGCTTTTTTGTAAACAGCCATGCCTCACTCCGCAAGGCAATTAAACTGGCAAAACATCAGTATAGAGACAAAGTGGAGTCGCAATTCAACGGCTCAGACACGAGACTACTCCTGAGTGGCGCAGTGGTCTAAGGCACTGCATCGCAGTGCTAACTGTGCCACTAGAGATCCTGGTTCGAATCCAGGCTCTGTCGCAGCCGGCCGCGACCGGGAGACTCATGGGCGGCGCACAATTGGCCAAGCGTCGTCCAGGGTAGGGGAGGGAATGGCCGGCAGGGATGTAGCTCAGTTGATAGAGCATGGCGTTTGCAATGCCAGGGTTGTGGGTTCGATTCCCACGGGGGGCCAGTATAAAAAAATATGTATTCACTAACTGTAAGTCGCTCTGGATAAGAGCGTCTGCTAAATGACTAAAATGTAAATGTAAAATGTAGCAGGGTCTACAGACAATCACAGACTACAAAAAAGATAACCAGCCACGTCGCCGACACCGACGTCTCGCTTCCAGACAAGCTAAACACCTTCTTCGCCCGCTTTGAGGATAACACAGTGCCACTGACGAGGCCCGCTACCAAGGACTGTGGCCTCTCCTTCTCCATGGCCGACGTGATTAAGACATTTAAGCATGATAACCCCCGCAAGGCTGCCGGCCCAGACGGCATCCCTAGCCGCGTCCTCAGAGCATGCGCAGACCAGCTGGCTGGTGTGTTCATGGACATATTCAATCTCTCCTTTTCCCAGTCTGTTGTTCCCACATGCTTCAAGATGGCCACCATTGTTCCTGTACCCAAGAAAGCAAAGGTAACTGAACTAAATGACTATCGCCCTGTAGCACTCACCTCTGTCATCATGAAGTGCTTTGAGAGACCAGTCAAGGATCATATCACCTCTACCTTACCTGTCACCCCAGACCCACTTCAATTTGCTTACCGCCCCAATAGATCCACAGACGATGCAATTGCCATCACACTGCACACTGCCCTATCCCATCTGGACAAGAGGAATACCTATGTAAGAATGCTGTTCATTGACTATAGCTCAGCATCAACACCATAGTACCCTCCAAGCTCATCATTAAGCTTTAGACCCTGGGTCTGAACCTCGCCCTGTGCAACTGGGTCCTGGACTTCCTGACGGGCCGCCCCCAGGTGGTGAAGGTAGGAAACAACATCTCCACTTCGCTGATCCTCATCACTGGGGCCCCACAAGGGTGCATGCTCAGCCCCCTCCTGTACTCCCTGTTCACCCATGACTGCGTGGCCAAGCACGCCTCCAACTCAATCATCAAGTTTGCAGACGACACAACAGTAGTAGGCTTGATTACCAACAATGACGAGACCGCCTACAGGGAGGAGGTGAGGGCTCTGGGAGTGTGGTGCCAGGAAAATAACCCCTCACTCAACATCAACAAAACAAAGGAGATGATCGTGGACTTCAGGAAACAGCAGAGGGTGCACCCCCCCCCTATCCACATCGACGGGACCGCAGTGGAGAAGGTAGAAAGCTTCAAGTTCCTTGGCGTACACATCACTGACAAACTGAAATGGTCCACCCACGCAGACAGTGTGGTGAAGAAGGCGCAACAGAGCCTCTTCAAACTCAGGAGGCTGAAGAAATTTGGCTTATCACCTAAAACCCTCACAAACTTTTACAGATGCACAATTGAGAGCATCCTGTCGGGCTGTATCACCGCCTGGTACGGCAACTGCACCACCCACAACCGCAGGGCTCTCCAGAGGGTGGTGCGGTCTGCCGAACGCATTACCGGGGGCAAACTACCCGCCCTCAAAGACACATACAGCACCCGATGTCACAGGAAGGCCAAAAATATCATCAAGGACATCAACCACCCGAGCCACTGCCTGTTCACCACACTATCATCCAGAAGGCGAGGTCAGTACAGGTGCATCAAAGCTGGGACCGAGAGAATGAAAAACAGCTTCTATCTCAAGGCCATCAGACTGTTAAATAGCCATCACTAGCACATTAGAGGCTGCTGCTGCCTATTGAAATCACTGGCCACTTTAAGAAATTGAACATTAGTCACTTTAATAATGTTTACATATCTTGCACTACTCATCTCATATGTATATACTGCATTCTATTCTATAATATTCTTCTGTATCTTAGTCCATGCCGCTCTGTCATTGCTTGTCCATATATGTATATATTCTTAAATCCCATTCCTTACTAGTTTTGTGTGTATTGGGTATATGTTGTGAAATTGTTAGATATTACTGCACTGTCGGAGCTAGAAGCACAAGCATTTCGCTACACCCACTATAACATCTGCTAAACACGTGTATGTGACAAATACAATTTGATTTGATTTGAATCTAATGGTATGCTTAGGCTACTCATCACATTGGGAATTGTATTTTATTGTTAGTCTGCATAGATCTCCCTAAAAACATTTTTCTTTCGATCAGCACTCAAAACAACTTCCCACGGCTATGGTTGCATTCCAATTATTTTCCCTTCACCCAGAAGTGTCCACTCATTCACTCCCTTTCACACAGTTAAAAGCATTGGATTGGTGCAACCATGTCCGGAGGGAGTTTCCACCATATTCCTTACCTCAGTCCATTCCTTTTAAATCCATAAAGGGAAGTGTGTGAGTGCACACTTCGGGAGAAGGGTAGAGAATCGGACCGCAGCCCTAGAACATAGTCAGCTGAAATGTCTTGGAAGGGATCATTTGCTAAAAGTGGTTCATTATACTGTTTCCTACCTAGGCTGTTGTTGATCGATCGAGAAAGTCTTTAAGTGCATTTTCGGGTTGTTTAATCACTCTCAACAGCCTCTGGTTAACATTAGTATTCTCCAACTAGAAACTCGTATGTTATATATTCTTTCCCTTGTCTCTTAGAACAACAGGATGAGGACCTCGCATCCTGGATCAATAGAGAACGGTTCCTTAATTACCTCCCGATTGACAGCTACACCTTGTATGCAATGGGAGATACAGGTATGTTACACTCTCTCATGCACACACAAATACACACACACACACACCCAGGTACGTAGGCACGCACACACACACACACACACACACACACACACACACACTGCAAACATGGTAGAGGATGTGCTTTACCAGTAAATAACTTTGAATTAGAAGTATTCAATAGAATAGATGTCTCTGTGTGTCACAAGGGGGAAAGCAGTGAGTGTACAAACTAGTGCATTACATTGTTATTAATTCGTACAGTGTGGCTTTAATGATTCAAGCAGAAATAAAAGCCTCTGTGATTGAAGGTTATGAAGTGAAGGTAAATGTGTTTTTTTTTCCCGTGTTTGGAAATGTTTTGGTGTTTTATGTGTTCTTCAGCGTGGCTTTAATGAGTCAAGCAGAAATAAAAGCCTCTGTGAATGATGGTTATGAAGTGAAGGTAAATGTGTTTTTTTCTTCCCGTGTTTGGAAATGTTTTGGTGTATTATGTATGTTCTTCACCATAGGCAAACTGGTGGCTCTGGCTATAGTGGATGAGAGAAACCCTACTGAGGAGAGCATCCGGTATGAGTATCTCTTTTATCCCATTATAATGTAAGGGGTGGTTCACCTGAATTACACATTTACCTCATATCTGTGCTACAATTCAAGTTACACATATAGATCTCAAGTTTCCATTAGTTCATCCTTACAAATCAACTGTTGTTCATGAGATCAATATTGCCCTCAAAACATATTAACATCCTATTCTTATTAATCAAATATTCCTCCCTACTCAGTTATAAGACCATGGTGGAAAGAGTGGCCACTGAATACAAGGACCTCTATAGCAAGTGAGTTTGTTTGAAACAGAGCGAAACGGGGAGGTACTATCTGAACTTGTCCAATAAGAAATTCTTGTTTTTGTTTTATTTTGCAATAAGTCTTGTACCGTAATGAACTTGATCCTGGTGTCTTCTCAGAGAATTCCAGTTTGGTCACATGGACGGAAACGAGTACATCAATGGCCTCATCATGGAGTGAGTCATTTCTCTTTTCTGCCCTTCTATAAATGTCAGAAGTAGCCTGAGTTTTTGCACAAATCCGCGATTGACAACAATGCATAATATATATATACGCGAGTTAAGTGTGGTTAGAATCTTTGTTTCGGACAATGATGGTTCTCCAGGACCAGGCCTGCCTAGTAGTGCCTTCAGTACACAGCACAGTGGCAACCCGTCGTTCAGTACAGGTGGGGCAGAGCCATAGATTTACAGTAGAAGTGCCCATCCAAGAAGGCTCAAGGTCATTGGCCACAGATAAAATTATGTCAAATCAGGTTATTTCTCCTGAAGCTTTGATTGGACTGATCGTGTCAACATCAGACTTTTAAAATCTTAGCTACAGTGAGGGAAAAAAGTATTTGATCCCCTGCTGATTTTGTACGTTTGCCCACTGACAAAGAAATTATCAGTCTATAATTTTAATGGTAGGTTTATTTGAACAGTGAGAGACAGAATAACAACAAAAAAATCCAGAAAAACACATGTCAAAAATGTTATAAATTGATTTGCATTTTAATGAGGGAAATAAGTATTTGACCCCCTCTCAATCAGAATGATTTCTGGCTCCCAGGTGTCTTTTATACAGGTAACAAGCTGAGATTAGGAGCACACTCTTAAAGGGAGTGCTCCTAATCTCAGCTTGTTACCTGTAAAAAAGACACCTGTCCACAGAAGCAATCAATCAATCAGATTCCAAACTCTCCACCATCGCCAAGACCAAAGAGCTCTCCAATGATGTCAGGGGCAAGATTGTAGCCCTACACATGGCTGGAATGGGCTACAAGACCATCGCCAAGCAGCTTGGTGAGAAGGTGACAACAGTTTGTGCGATTATTCGCAAATGGAAGAAACACAAAATAACTGTCAATCTCCCTCGGCCTGGGGCTCCATGCAAGATCTCACCTCGTGGAGTTGCAATAATCATGAGAACGATGAGGAATCAGCCCAGAACTACACGGGAGGAACTTGTCAATGATCTCAAGGCAGCTGGGACCATAGTCACCAAGAAAACAATTGGTAACACACTACGCCGTGAAGGACTGAAATCCTGCAGCGCCCGCAAGGTCCCCCAGCTCAAGAAAGCACATATACATGCCCGTCTGAAGTTTGCCAATGAACATCTGAATGATTCAGAGGAGAACTGGGTGAAAGTGTTGTGGTCAGATGAGACCAAAATCGAGCTCTTTGGCATCAACTCAACTCGCTCTTTGGAGGAGGAATGCTGCCTATGACCCCAAGAACACCATCCCCACCGTCAAACATGGAGGTGGAAACATTATGCTTTGGGGGTGTTTTTCTGCTAAGGGGACAGGACAACTTCACCGCATCAAAGGGCCGTCAAATCTTGGGTGAGAACCTCCTTCCCTCAGCCAGGGCATTGAAAATGGGTCGTGGATGGGTATTCCAGCATGACAATGACACAAAACACACGGCCAAGGCAACAAAGGAGTGGCTCAAGAAGAAGCACATTAAGGTCCTGGAGTGGCCTAGCAAGTCTCCAGACCTTAATCCCATAGAAAATCTGTGGAGGGAGCTGAAGGTTCGAGTTGCCAAACGTCAGCCTCAAAACCTTAATGACTTGGAGAAGATCTGCAAAGAGGAGTGGGACAAAATCCCTCCTGAGATGTGTGCAAACCTGGTGGCCAACTACAAGAAACATCTGACCTCTGTGATTGCCAACAAGGCTTTTGCCACCAAGTACTAAGTCATGTTTTGCAGAGGGGTCAAATACTTATTTCCCTCATTAAAATGCAAATCAATTTATAACATTTTTGACATGCGTTTTTCTGGATTTTTTTGTTTGTTATTCTGTCTCTCACTGTTCAAATAAACCTACCATTAAAATTATAGACTGATCATTTCTTTGTCAGTGGGCAAACGTACAAAATCAGCAGGGGATCAAATCCCTCACTGTAGCTAGCTAGAAAAGCAGTCGTAATCATGAATCACGTTGACAATCTACTGGCAAATCCTTTTCAATCTTTGTCATATAAAGAGAAATTAGAGATAAAACAATCTCGGTGCTCATTGGCCATTGGACATAAACATTACAAAACAGGTTGGAAATCGCAAATTCAACAATGAGTGGTTTGGAAGGAAGCAGTGGCTAACTGCAAGCGTCGCAAAGCAATCACTATTTTGCTTCCCCTGCCTGCTATTCAGTGGAGAGGGTGGGTGGTACATGTCTGGGTTTAAGGATTTAAAACATCTGTCTGATAGGGTCTCAAAACATGAGAATTGTTCATCACATGTAGACAACACTGTTAAACTGGGATTGCTGGGGAAACCAAACATTGTGGCTAGACACCGCATATAGACGAGTAATCGACCTTCACAACCAACAAACGGAGGAGAATAAATACGTGCTTGCCAGAATTATGGCATGCATTAAATTATGTGGCTGAAGGAATAGGCATATAGCAGTGCATTCGGAAAGAATTCAGACCCCTTGACTTTTTCCACATTTTGTTACGTTACAGCCTTATTCTAAAATGGATTAAATGGTCCCCCCCCCTCATAAATCTACACACAATACCCCATAATGACAAAGCAAAAACAGGTTTTTAGATTTTTTTGCAAATGTATAAAAATAAAAAACTGAAATATTACATTTACATAAGTATTCAGACCCTTTACTCAGTACTTTGTTGAAGCACCTTTGGCAGCGATTACAGCCGCGAGTTTTATTGGGTATGATGCTACAAGCTTGGCACACCTGTATTTGGGGAGTTTCTCCCATTCTTCTCTGCAGATCCTCTCAAGCTCTGTCAGGTTGGCTGGGGAGTGTCGCTGCACAGTTATTTTCAGGTCTCTCCAGAGATGTTAGATCGGGTTCAAGTCCGGGCTCTGGCTGGGCCACTCCAGGACATTCAGAAACTTGTCCCGAAGCCACTCTTGCGTTGTCTTGGCTGTGTGCTTAGGTGAACCTTCGCCCCAGTCTAAGGTCCTGAGCGCTCTTGATAGGTTTTCATCAAGGATCTCTCTGCACTTTGCTCTGTTAATCTTTCTCTCGATCCTGACTAATCTCCCAGTCCCTGCCACTGAAAAACATCCCCACAGCATGATGCTGCCACCACCATGCTTCACCGTAGGGATGGTGCCAGGTTTCCTCCAGACGTGACGCTTGGCATTCAGGCCAAAGAGTTCAATCTTGATTTCATCAGACCAGAGAATCTTGTTTCTCATGGTCTGAGAGCCTTTTGGTGCCCTTTGGCAAACTCTGAGCGTACTGTCATGTGACTTTTACTGAGGAGGGGCTTCTGTCTGGCCACTCTACCATAAAGGCCTGATCGGTGGAGTGCTGCAGAGATGGTTGTCCTTCTGGAAGGTTCTCCCATCTCCACAGAGGAACTCTGGAGCTCTGTCAGAGTGACCATCGGGTTCTTGGTCACCTCCCTGACCCAGGCCATTCTTCCCCGATTGCTCAGTTTTGCCAGGCTGCCAGCTCTAGGAAGAGTCTTGGTGGTTTCAAACTTCTTCCATTGAAGAATGATGGAGGCCACTGTGTTCTTGGGGACCTTTTGTTAACTCAAAATGACTAGGTTCCAGTTTAACAACGTTTACTTCACTATATTACCACAGTACGTAGTCACCATTTAATTTTTTATTTATTTAACCTTTATTTAACTAGGCAAGTCAGTTAAGAACAAATTCTTATTTACAATGACGGCCTACACCGGCCAAACCCGGACGACGCTGGGCCAATTGTGCGCCGCCCTATGGGACTCCCAATCACGGCCGGTTGTGATACAGCCTGGAATCAAACAGGGGGTCTGTAGAATACCTGGGAAAGGATAAAGTAATCCTTCTACCCCCCCCCCCCCCCCCCCAAAAAAAACATTGAAAATAAAATGACAAAATATAAAAACATAAAACACATTGTAAAGTGGATATCCAACTGGCTATAAGGTGAATGCACCAATTTGTAAGTCGCTCTGGATAAGAGCGTCTGCTAAATGACGTAAATGTAATGTAAATGTAGTGACGCCTCAAGCACTGAGATGCAGTACCTTAGACCGCTGCGCCACTCGGGAGCCCATCACACTCAGGCCAGGTCCATCTCCAGTGAGCCTACTGCACAGGCATACTAATAACAGAGTGATAGAAACGTAAAAACAGAAATATAGAGATACTTAAAACATGAACTTAACAATCTCCCACTTTTCTTTAAAGACAAATAAAACATCAACAAAATAATTACAAATGGGTTGTGTGACAAAGTTTTTATTTTTATTATTCAAGCTGCCACTTTCCATTAATGAGTGCCTTTAGGAGCACAAGACCGGATGCTCCCTTTTTAGTCAGACAGTCAGCAAGTTGTTCCTTTGTGGCCGACCAGGAAAACCGCTTTGAGGTGTGGAATCACAGTTGTAGCAAAGGTCTGTGAGCCACCCCAGATGAAGTCATTAACATGACAGGCAAGTCCTCCAGTCACATTGTAGTATTGATCAAGCCAACAGAAGACTGCAGGATCCACTTGTGACATTTTTCCACCTGTACTCAGCATTGACTTTATTGTACCAGTAGAGTGATGCATCTGCTCTTAGCTTCAGGCGGAGGTCGGACGTGAATGTCCCTTGACAGCTTTGTTCCCTGCAAAAATGCAGATTTGATGTCTATGGAATTAAGTTTCCATTTTTTCTGTCAGATCACTGTAAGCAACAATCTGAGTGACTCTGAGGCGCATATCGGTGAGTCATTTGGAAGTTCATTAGCAGTCAGCTCCTCAAAACCTCTAGCCACAAGACATGCTTTTGGCACTATTCCAGTTAAGGATTCTTTAAGGGTACACACCCACCTTGTTGAGACACATTTTTGGCCGATGTCTTAGACTTCCTCAAACATTTTTCCGGCAATTACTGAGCTCATCTAGTTTAGCTGAGTCAAATGACACGTCCTTATTTTCAAGTACATCATCATTTTGAATGTCATTCTGTTTTTATATTGGTTCAATTCTGAGATTATCTACAAGTGACAGGTCAGCTAACCCTGTTGTACCAGAAAGTGTAGCTGGTTCAGAGTACTGCAAGTTGTACCAGTTCTGGTGTTTTCCTTTGGCTTTTCATGCTCGTCCAATGACTGTTGCTGTGTGTGGAAAACCACTTTCTCTGTTCATGTATTTAACAGTTTGTCCAGTTTTCAGATTGGAGCAACCATGTTGTCTTAACACATGTGGCTGTTGTTGAACATTTTCCTCATTTGAACCCTCAACAGTATTACCTGTGTCATGGTTGAAGGTCTCTGCTCTATTTCCTGTGTCAGTTTCAGTGTCCATATCATTGGATGCGACATCTGGTAGGTGTGTGTCTGTTAATGTGTCCTTTTTGTCATTTGCAGTAGGAGGCTGATTCTCAGCAACAGCTCCTACATCTTGTTGATCATTTACTTTCCCCAATCTTGAGTGATGCACCCTGACAATGGTGCCTCCGTGCCTCACAAATATCACCACACCATCTTGGCCAATGACTACTCCCGGTCCTTTCCACTCTTGACAGTCAACTCGTTTGTAGTACACTTTGTTTCCAGTCTCATACTTCTCATCGGTGGGTTGAAGCTGTTTACGCAGAGCCCTGCGAATTCTCTCTGAACACTCTGCTTCAGTGAACGCTTTAATCGCTGCATGTAGTGCTGAAAGGTGCTGTCCCACCTGTGCACTCACACTGGTCCATTCTAGTGCTGGTGGCTTGTCAACCAGTACAGAGGGAAGATTAGGGTTCTGGCGAACTCTAGTTGGTATGGGCTGTAACCATGAACATTGTGCATTGAGTTTTTTGCCATCAAAGCCCAATCTAGAGCTGTTTTCCCGTCACATCCATTGTCTTGTTTCACTTTCAGCATAATCTCTGTGAGTGTTTGATTATGTCTCTCCAGAAGTCCATTGTCTTTACTTCCATGTTGAATTTCCCAGCCATTTCTCTTATTTCTCCTCCAATTTCTGGGGCGGGCCATGCACACTTATCCAGGAATGAATGAAGTGCTTGACGATTTCACTGGGTTTCTTTGTAGGTTAGGTTAGGTTTGCTGTATTTCTGGCATGTCTCACAACTGTTAACTATCTGCTGTAGAATGGAAATACTCTCATCATCATTATTCCCAGAACTGCTGAGTCATTTCTGAAGTCTGTCAACTGTAGCATGTCCAAACTGTTTGTGAAGTTTTAACACTACTTTGTGTTTTTCCTCTGAGGTCATGTTCTCTGTGACTGTCAGAATCTCCATGTGCTCTGTGTTCGTCATAATCTAATTTGTACATGGACTCTGTGTGATGTCTTTGTCTAAAATGTTTACACAATAGTGGCCTGAGGTAGTAAGTTCAAGGGTCACTGGTTGTTTAAACATCACTGCCTTGTCATTTTTTATGTCTAGTGCAGCCCCTGCCTTCTTGAGGGAAGCTTTGCTCCCCTGTAGCTCAGTTGGTAGGGCATGGCGCTTGCAACGCCAGGGTTGTGGGTTCGTTTCCCACGGGGGGCCAGTATGAAAATGTATGCACTCACTAACTGTAAGTCGCTCTGGATAAGAGCGTCTGCTAAATGACTGAAATGTAAAATGTAAATAGTAAGGGGATATCTGCAGGGACCATATCTGTTTCAATGTGACACTTAGTCTGACCAATTTTTGCTGGTATCTTGACTCTCTTGGTAGAATAGACGACTCTCCCATCTCCAAATTTGAAATCACTGTTGCTTGGTGTCAATCATATTTTGTACTTCTTTCATATTTAGTTCACTGACATAGCTATCAAGCCATTTTGCACCACACACTGTGTGTATACATGAAGTAACAATCACAGCAGATCCTAAGGATTCAACTATAAAGATCTCAGAAGCAGATTAGTTTGAAAACTGTGTAATGTTACACTGCTCCATCTCTGTGTTTACAGTTTCCTCTATTAGTTTAACTTGTTTATCTTTATGAGGACAGTCTTTAACCCAATGGTAAGTGCTTTGACAAATAGCAGATTTTGATCTCCTTCCACATCTGTCCTGTGGATTCGTGCTGGTCAATGGCGCCCTCGTCTGGTTGTCTTGAGAACGTGACTTGTTGGCACCTTTTCTCTGCTGCTCAGTGTAATATTTACATTTTAGTCATTTAGCAGATGCTCTTATCCAGAGCGACTTACAGTTAGTGAGTGCATACATTTTCATACCGGCCCCCCGTGGGAAACGAACCCACAACCCTGGTTTTGCAAGCGCCATGCTCTACCAACTGAGCTACACGGGCCTCATATGCCACGTCACTCACTTGCATTCCATCTGTTATTGGCGGGACAGACGTCTTTTCACCAAAAATCATTTTTAGTTCCGACTTCATTGACGCAAAAGTCAGCACAGTACAAGCAGTCAAAGCCAACTGATTCTCCCTACCATCCAGACAGGCAGTATCTAGCAACTTGAAAGCTAACACTTGCGCATCCTATTGTACTTCTGTTCAAAATCAATTATGTAGTCTGTCATTGCAACTGAAATGTCTCTAGTAACACTGTCAAAGTTTGAATACGCCTCGTAGGCACGATCTTTCTCTTCTTTAAGAAACACAGAATCCAGTGCTCTGATCAAAGTTCTCATACCGTCATCCTTGTTCAAATCCTCCATGGATATTTCCAGTACTGTATCTCTCGCTCTCCCCTTGAGCGATAATACCACCGCGAGTGCTTGCTTTTTCTCGTACATATTAGTAACCCGTGTCCAGATTCCAAGTTCATTTTGCCAACCTTCATACGACCTCTTCTCGTCGAAGCGAGGTGGCACATTGTAGTTATTAGCCATCCTCTGCTACCAATGTTAACTCAAAATGACACAACGACTAGGTTCCAGTTTAACAACGTTTACTTCACCATATTACCACAGTACATAGTCGCCATCACACTCAGGCCAGGTCAATCTCCAGTGAGACTTCTGCACAGGTGTTCCAATAACAGAGTGATAGCAACGTAAAAACAGAAATATATGGATAGTTAAAACATGAACTTAACACCTTCAATGCTGCAGACATTTTTTGGTAGGAAGAGTCATGGTGCTTCCAAACTTTTTCCATTTAAGAATGATGGAGGCCATTGTGTTCTTGGGGACCTTCAATGCTGCAGAAATGTTTTGGTACCCTTCCCCAAATCTGTGCCTGAACACAATCCTGTCTCGGAGCTCTACGGACAATTCCTTCGACCTCATGGCTTGGTTTTTGCTCTGACATGCATTGCCAACAGTGGGCTCCTTATATAGACAGGTGTGTGCCTTTCCAAATCATGTCCAATCAATTGAATTTACCACAGGTGGACTCCAATCAAGTTGTAGAAACATCTCTAGGATGATTAATGGAAACAGGATGCACATGAGCTCAATTTCAAGTCTCATAGCAAAGGGTCTGAATACTTATGTAAATAACGTATTTCTGTTTTTTATTTTTAGTACATTTGCAAAAATGTCTAAAAACCTGTTTTCGCTTTGTCATTATATGGTATTGTGTGTAGATTGATGATAATTGTTATTTATTTGCCAGTGATAGTCTCTTCCAATTCAACATTTTTTGTTCAACAAAAAGTTCAGGAATGTACCCATGTAATTCCAGTTCATATTGCGAGGGTTGTTTTGTTTGCCCAATGCGTTTGTGCGTCAGTATATTGTCAATACAAGTGGATCCTCGTAATTTTATTTTACTTCCTTTTCAGACCACATAATAAAATACTTCAAATGGTAGGCTAACTGCTGAGTCCGTGTCTCACTCGCTCTCTCTCGCTCTCTCTGTGGTCACTTAAAGAAGAGAAAAGTTAAGGTCTCAACATCTTGCTGATTTTATCTGAACTAACATCTATCTGAATTTCTGTCGCTGTCCATTTCGAAGGTGCTGAACAAATAGTCCTACCTCGTCGCAGCTCATTTGCTTGCACTTGCTTATGGTTAGAGCTACTTGTGTTAATGACATAAGAACAAACATTATGAATTTACTGAACATAAATGTAATAATGTTGGTGTATGGTTCAAAAGTCAAAACTCGTGTCGGCATTTGTCGTTATTGAGGGAGAATGCGGTTCTTATCGAGTTACACAAATCCACAAGGAGTCAGTAGAAACCATAATTATTTAAGCAAGTCAGCCATATCAGCTATGGTTTTTAAAAAGGCAGTAATGAGGCTGAATGAACTGTTTCGCTGCCAGACAAGGCTCCGCTGATTGCCAGGTGTAGTGGTGGTAAGGATTCACTCCATGGTGCTGAAAAGAAAGCTCTGCTGTTGGGCTCTGCTGTCAGCTTTATGTAGGCCCTAACCTTTATAGTGCATTTAATGAATTGTTAATTGTTGTGTTGTGTAGTGGCGTTGCTGACGTGCATCTAAAAAAAATTGGTTGAGTTGCCCCCACCAAGATTTACATGCTAAAATTGCCACTGACACAGTGTGTTGACAACTAAACCTAAACCCTATGTGTGTGTGTTGCCAGGGAAGTGGCCATGCCCTCTATTATTGTGCTCAACGTGTCTAACGATGGATATTTCCTGCCGCCCAACAAAGTGGAGACAAAGGAACAGCTGGTGAAGTTTATCGATGGTGTGTCGAAGGGCCGGATTAAGGTCAGTCTGACTAAACCTAAGTCTGACCTGGGATCAAATTGTATTTGAAATCTTTACCTGTGCTTGATTAAGCTTGCCCAGTACAATATAAACATTAGAATAGTCCCAAAGTGTAAACCCTGTCAAATACAGAGAACCATGTTCAAATATGATACATTTGATGCAATACGTAGTGTCTAGCGAAACATTGTATATTACCCAATAACATTTGTATATGCCATGTCTTGCTTGAAAATAGCCAACATTAATAATCTTGTTTCAATCAGTCCCAGGGAGGGAATGGATACTATCAATGCTTTATAAGGATTGTGTTCAACACCAAAACGACTGTTACAGTAAGTCACAGAACATTGGCACGAGGCTTTTCACTTTGACATAATTACATTTTTATCAGTGCCGTTGTATAATGGATAATTATTTTGTATCTCAAAGTACGGCTTTGCCTTAGCCTCTGTGCCCTGACCACAATATCAATCTACACCCTCCTCCCTCCCTCCCTCTCTCTCTCTCTCTCTCTCTCTCTCTCTCTCTCTTCTCTTTCTCTCTATCCTTCTCTCTCCCCTCTCTTCCTCAGACTATATTTACCGAAGCGCCCCTTTTGGGCGCCTTCCTCATCGTTGTTTCTGGCGGCGTCGGAAGCGCCATGTGTTACGGCCTATGCATGGTCTGGCGCTCAATGAGAAACACAGAGGACGAGGAACCAATCACTGGGGAGAGGGTGGAGCCAAAGCAGCTCAAAGGTCCTGGGGAAGACAAGAAGACTGAGACGAAAGAGAAGAATCCGGCAGAGAAGAAGGCCGATTAAATATGAAACGGGTAGACGGCTGCCACTTCTGACCCTGAATTCCTTTTTTTTATTGAGCTGCCCTCTTGGCCATGTCTCCCTCATAAAATATGTATTCTGACCTCAATGGGACTTCCTGGATAAATAAAGGTTAAATAAAAAATGAACAAAAATAAACCCCTACCCCGTAGCGCCTCTTGTAGATATGAGAAAATGTGATAGGTTTAAGCAATATGGCAATAACTTTAATTGCCTTCCTATAGGCTGGGTGGTGTTTTCGCCATATTGCTTCAACGTACCCAATGGAGGAGGTGCTAGGGGTCAATTTGCGATTCAGGGTGAGTGGTTAGCCTGAGTATGTTCAGCGATACTTGAATTTCTACATCATGAATCATTTTCTAAGAAATTATTGGGGTTTTGTTGCATCTCTACAAACTATTTTATTTATTTGATTTGGAATTTTGATCATATAGATTTGATTTTAAACGTTTTATTAATGAATTCATATCAATTCAATGTTGTAAAAGACAATTAGTAGGGCCTATATAAACCGGAAATGTCCTCACAGTGGGTTACAGCAGACATTTACAGTGAAAATGTTCTATTTTGTTCCACTGTGGTGTCAGTTTTTTAGCACCATCAATAAACCGAACTAACAATTCTAGAGAGAGAGAACGTTTTTGTATTGTTACCTGTAATGTTCCCGTGATGTTTGTGTCCAGTTTTCTGTTAGTTATGGGAACATTCTATGTATGTTATCAAAAATTCCCGAGAACCTATTTAGCATGTTTTGGCTTTACAGATTAAATATCAAACAGAATAGACCCAGAATGTGATGCCATGTTCTCAGAATATCCTATATTAATGGGCAATTTCACCACTTTGCAAGCTAATTTTCATTATCTCTAGCACAATACCAGCGTCTACATATGTGGAAAAGTTAACAAGTTCTACCCGATCATATCATCAAACAGTGATTTTCAAACACTATGAGATTCGCGGTGACATGGGGAGCACGAAAATACCCTGCCCTGGCTAGAAACTCGTTGCAAGTTTTGAAAACCACAGTTTTTCTTACTTTTAATCCTACCCTGATCATAGAAATCCACAGTTTTCAGTAGACACTGGTATGGTGCTGGAGATAATGAATATGAGGTTGAAAGTGGTGGAATTGCCCTTTAAAGTTCTAGACACATTTCATTGGAACGTTACTGTGTCCAGTTTTCGGAGAGTTAGGACAATATTCCATCAACGTCCCACCACACATGCACAGAACATGTTTGCCATGACTGTTCTCAGAATATAAGATATTAATGTTCTAGACACGTTTCATGGGAACGTTGCAGGAACATTTCTGTATATTTGTCAGGACATCACCTAATGGTTCCAATGAAACGTTCTCCCACCCCAAAAATGATTTCACGCCGTGTTATTGTTGCTGAGCCCATTAAGGCCCTGATTGGTGAACCACTGATCCATTCACAGCTCTTTCTGTTGGCGAGGTTAGGGACACACACTTCTCACCATACATATTTGACAGACTTTGACATACATGATTGCATTGTGTATGTATACAGTAATTATTATTCAACATGTCCTGGGGTCACCTGGGATTTTAACTCACAACCTCTTGGTTCACGGCATTCAGATCTTTCTGCTACGCCACCATGTCTGTGTCAGTTTTCAGTTAACCCCTGTAGGTTTACGCCCTTAGATCGCAATATCTACTAAGCTAACACACAGAATTGTTTTAAGAGGGTCATAAAATGGATAATTTAGTCATTTGATTTTGAATTTTAGGACCCCTGTAGGTATATAAAAAACATCTAATATATATTTACTTCAAAGTGCATTTCAAGAAGACGATGGAGTGATGCTCAGCTATATATAATTAATAAATACTGACAATTTATGAGAAGTAGTGGAAATGTGGTCATATACACTGAGTGTACCAAAAACCTTAGAAACACCTTCCTAATAGAGCTGCACCCTCAGAACAGCCTCAATTCATCAGGGTATGGACTCTACAAGATGTCAAAAGCGTTTCACAGGATGCTGGCCCATGTTGTCTCCAATGCTTCCCACAGTTGTGTCAAGTTGGCTGGATGTCCTTTGGGTGGTGGACCATTCTTGAAACAGTTGAAGTCGGAAGTTTACATACACCTTACCCAAATACATTTAAACTCAGTTTTTCACAATTCCTGACATTTAATCCTAGTAAAAAATCCCTGTCTTAGGTCAGATAGGATCACCACTTTATTTTAAGAATGTGAAATGTCATTATAATAGTAGAGAGAATGATTTATTTCAGCTTTTATTTCTTTCATCACATTCCCAGTGGGTCAGAAGTTTACATACATTCAATTAGTATTTGGTAGCATTGCCTTTAAATTGTTTAACTTTGGTCAAATGTTTCGGGTAGCCTTCCACAAGCTTCCCCCAATAAGTTTGGGTGAATTTTGGCCCATTCCTCCTGACAGAGCTGGTGTAACTGAGTCAGGTTTGTAGGCCTCCTTGCTCGGACACATTTTTTCAGTTCTGCCCACAAATGTTCTATAGGATTGTGGTCAGGGCTTTGTGATGGCCACTCCAATACCTTGACTTTGTTGTCCTTAAGCCATTTTGCCACAACTTTGGAAGTATGCTTGAGGTCATTGTCCATTTGGAAGACCCATTTGTTGCTTCAATATATCCACATAATTTTCCTTCCTCATGATGCCATCTATTTTGTGAAGTGCACCAGTCCCTCCTGCAGCAAAGCACCCACACAGCATGATGCTGCCACCTCCGTGCTTCACGGTTGGGATGGTGTTCTTCGGCTTGCAAGGTATCCCCTTTTTCCTCCAAACATAACGATGGTCATTATGGCCAAACAGTTATGTTTTTGTTTCATCAGACCAGAGGACATTTCTCAGAAAAGTACGATCTTTGTTCCCATGTGCAGATGCAAACCGTAGTCTGTTTTTTTTATGGCGGTTTTGGAGCAGTGGCTTCTTCCTTGCTGAGCGGCCTTTCAGGTTATGTCGATATAGGACTCGTTTTACTATGGATATAGTGTCACGATCGTCAGGGAGAGAAGTAGACCAATGCGCAGCGTGATGAACGAACATGTTACTTTATTTAATTAAGGCACGAAACAAAACAACAAACGACTCGTAACGTCCTTGGTAACAATGACCAACACGGAACAAAAACCCACAAACACAAAGTGAAAAACAGACAGTTAAATATGGCTCCCAATCAGAGACAACCAGCCAACAGCTGACACTCGTTGCCTCTGATTGGGAGTCACTAAGGCAAACATAGAAAACAACAAACCAGAACCCCCAACATAGAAATAAACCACATAGAATGAACACACCCTGGCTCAACATATAGAGTCCCAGAGCCAGGGTGTGACAGTACCCCCCCCTAAAGGCGCGGACTGCGACCGCGCCTCAACCAGAGAAAAATAGGGGAGGGCTGGGTGGGCACTCCTCCTCGGCGGCGGTTCTGGCTCCGGGCTTGCCCACCACCCTCCAATAAACCCCCCATAGCGCCCCTGGTCCGGTCTGGCCCCGCTGGCTGGAGCTGACCTGGACGTAGCAGGAGCGGCTAGCTTCAGCTCCGTTGGGGAGCAATAAAGCGGTACCTGATTTGGCACCGATGACCCAGGCACGGGTTGTGCCGGACTGACGACGCGCACCCCAGGCTTGGTGCGTGAGGCAGGAAAGGACCGGACCTGGCTGTCGATGCGCACCCCTGGCTTGGTGCGTGGAGCAGCAACGGGCCGGACCGGGCTGACGATACGCACCCCTGGCTTGGTGCGTGGAGCCAGAACGGGCCTCACCGGACTGATGACTCGCACCCCTGGCTTTGTGCGTGGAGCAGCAACGGGCCGGACCGGGCTGACGATGCGCACCCCTGGCTTGGTGCGTGGAGCAGCGACGGGCCGGACCGGGCAGACGATACGCACCCCTGGCTTGGTGCGTGGAGCCGAACGGGCCTCACCGGACTGACGACTCGCACCCCTGGCTTGGTGCGTGGAGCAGCAACGGGCCGGACCGGGCTGACGATGCGCACCCCTGGCTTGGTGCGTGGAGCCGGAACGGGCCTCACCGGACTGACGAAGCACACCACTGGCTTGGTGCGTGGAGGAGGAACGGGCCTTACCAGGCTGACGACGCACACCATAGGCTTGGTGCGTGGAGCAGGGACAGGCCGGACTGGGCTGACGAAGCGCACCACTGACTTGGTGCAGGGGGCAGGAACGGGCCGAGCCGGGCTGACGAAGCGCACCACTGACTTGGTGCGGGGAGCAGGAACGGGCCGAGCCGGGCTGACGAAGCGCACCACTGACTTGGTGCGGGGAGCAGGAACAGACCGGACCGTACTGGGGACACACCACTGGCCCTACACCGGGATCTGGAACGGACCGGACTGGTAACACACCCCAGTACCTCTCGCCGTGCCTCTCTACCTTCCATCCCCTCTTCGACCAGTGGCCCCCGTAACCTGGCGGCCTCCTCTGCCAACCCGCTGGACCGCTCTATCGCGGCCTCCTGCTGCCCCGACGTCGTGAGCCCCCCCCCCCTAAAACATTTTCTGGGGGTCTCTCCTCCCCGTGGGCCAGGCCTCTATCGTTCTCGCCCAACTCTCGCTCTTCTGCCCCCAATTCCAGCCATTCTGCTCTTCATTAGGCTTGACCCAGTCTAGACTCTTCCTCCACTGTTCCCAAGTCCATCCACTCTGCTCTTTACAAGGCTGGACCCAGTCGAGGTTGCCACGGAGATCTGCAAGCGATTCCCCTGGTGATGGCTCCTGGAAACGCTGCTTGGTCCAGTTTAGGTGGGTTTTTCTGTCACGATCGTCAGGGAGAGAAGTAGACCAATGCGCAGCGTGATGAACGAACATGTTACTTTATTTAATTAAGGCACGAAACAAAACAACAAACGACTCGTAACGTCCTTGGTAACAATGACCAACACGGAACAAAAACCCACAAACACAAAGTGAAAAACAGACAGTTAAATATGGCTCCCAATCAGAGACAACCAGCCAACAGCTGACACTCGTTGCCTCTGATTGGGAGTCACTAAGGCAAACATAGAAAACAACAAACCAGAACCCCCAATATAGAAATAAACCACATAGAATGAACACACCCTGGCTCAACATATAGAGTCCCAGAGCCAGGGTGTGACATATAGATACTTTTGTACCTGTTTCCTCTAGCATCTTCACAAGGT